ATTGACGGCACCTCAACTGGGCTGCGATCCTTGGTGAAGCGATGCGCACGGCCTGCACCGCCGTCGAAGCTGCTCTTGGCCCAGCCCTGCCAGGCTTTGGCGAACTGGGCTTCTGCAGTGGCCACGCTCGCGCTGCCCTCGTCGATGATCCGCTGAGCCTGCTGCTTCAAGTCAGGCCTGCCCAAGCCCGCGACACCGCTGTGGAAGAAAAGCTGCGCCTGCAGCGGGCGTTGCTGCTTCGGGCGCCGCAGCTGGCAGGCCTGCGCCTCTTGGAAAAGCGCCCAAATGGCGCGGACGTGCTTGCGAATCTCCTCATCCGACGGGTTGGCACGCAGATCTGCAACTCTGTTGTGGACTGAGCCCGCGCCGACATGAGGCGTTGGGCCCACCCGGCCGCCGCAGCTCGCGCCGTCGCGCCGCGCCCATGCCGCGCGCGCCGTCGAGCAGGGGCCCGCGCCACAGGCTTGTCCCACACCACTGGCACCCCAGCTCTGACCGCGCAGTCCCTCTTCCCGATGCGAATCAGGTCGCGGCGGTTGTCCAGCTCCTCTTCAACGCCAGGAAGCAAGAGGCCCCAGGCCTTCGTCAGACGACTGCGCAGCCTCAACGCAGTGGAAGAAAGGGCCCCTATTGACAAGCAACCTCGCGCATCCAGGCCTCGCAACTTTGGGGGGGGGGGCACTCGGCTGCTGCAGCTCGCGCTTCTGCAGCTGAAGCCTACCCCTGGGCACGTAGAGAAGGACGGGCTGATGCGACCACATCGTAGCATCGTTCCACGCATTGTTGACCTGAAACGACACATCATCGACAAACGAGCTATGCAGGATAAAGAAATCGATCGCGGTGCCCGGCGCAGTTTGCACGCGCGCCGGAGCGGCGGGGGCGCAGCGCCGCCCGTTGATCATGTGGAACCAATCGTGCTCGAACAACCCTTGGGTGACATGTTGACATCACCTGCCATGAGCCAGGCATACAGCCTGCTGCCGCCACGCGGCAAACGCACTTGTACACCTCCCACATTAGGGCAAGGCCCCGAGGCGCGCGGCCCTCACCCGCGAACAAGTACACCGAGACCATGTTTACGCCACCACGCTGCCCAGCATGCACAAAGGCCACCCCGATGCGTCCAGCGTAGACCACTCCGCGCCCCAGGAAGGGGACTTCGGTGATCCGGATGCAGACCCAGCGCGCCGGGAGTCGACGTTGCTAGGATGCCTCGAGCCCTGGGCCGGGACACGTCTGGGGCGCCTCGGCGCGCGCCCCGGAAATGGCCCCTGGGGGCGCCTCCGGGGGTCGACTGCGCGAGGATGTTTCGAGCGAAAGCCCTGCTTGGACACGCCCAGCGCGTCCCGGCGCGCGCCCCAGAAATTGCCCCTGGGGGCGCGGCGGGGCCTGTCCTCCGCGCGCGCCATGGGCTGACTTTTGCGAGACTGTCTCGAGCGAGAACCCTGCGGGGAACGCTCTGCGCGCCTCTGCAGGCGCCTTGGAAATGGCCCCCAAGGGCAGAGTGGCGCCTGACCCCATCGCGCGCCGGGGGTCGACTTTGCGGGGCCCTGCTGAAACGCGCCCGGCGCGCCCCGGCGCGCGCCCCAGCAGCGGCCCCGAGCGCGGCGGGGCTCGACCTCCTCGCGCGCCGGGGGCCCACACGTCTCGAGCGGGAGCCCGGCTGGGACGCGCCCGCTGCGCCCCGGCGCGCGCCCTGGCAATGGCCCCCGGGGGCGCGGCGGCCCGGCCCCCTCGCGCGCCGGGGGTTACTTTGCGAGGATGTCTTGGGCAAGAGGAGCCCTGAGCGCCTGGCGCGCCCCGGCGCGCGCCCGCGAAAAAATTGCCCACGGGGGCGGGCATGGCCTCCTCGCGCGCCGGGGGGCAACTCTGCGAACATTTCTCGATCGAGAACCCCGCCGGGACAAGCCCGGCACGCCCCGGCGCGCGCCGCGGAAATGGCCCCCGGGGGCGCGGCGGGGCCTGACCTCCACGAGCGTCTTGCGAGGATGTCTCGCACGAGAGAGCCGAGTCCTGGGACACGCGCGGCGCGCCACGCCCAGCGCGCCCCGGCGCGCGCCCTGGAAACGGCCCTCGGGGGCGCGGCGAGGCCCGACCTCCTCGCGCGCCAGGGGTCGACTAAGATGCCTTGAGCGAGGGCAGGCGCGCGCCCCGGAAATGGCCCCAGCGGGCGCAGCGGGGCCCGACTTCCTCGCGCGCGGGGGGCGAGGGCGACATGAGTCCCACGGAAACTCCCATAACTTACCTCGCTCTTTGTCTGCATGCTCGGGCCTGTTTTAATCCATGTTCTCGTATCATGGCTCTGACTTGCCTCGACGTCAGGTCCCTCGTTCAGCGCGCCCTGCTCATCCTCGGCTTCCTCCTCGTCCTCCTCCCCGTCCTCCTCCTTCTGATCATCCTCCTATTGTATATATTATTTGTATTATTATTATCATTGTTATTTATTATTATTGCTATCATTATTATTACTTGTATTATTATTACGACTACTACGACTACTACGACTACTACGACTACTACGACTACGACTACGACTACTACTACTGCTACGACTACTACTACTACTACTACTACTACTACTACTACTACTACTACTACTACTA